GTCAAGTTGTTGTAAAGCCTGTGAAGCAACACTGTGTCCATTTCACCAGGAGATTTGCCTTGGGTGACTGTAGGACATGCCAATATCAAATAAAAACATTGCCTGTGAGGATTTTAGCATGCTAATTACATATTTCTTGTACTCACAGAGAAAAACCACAGTTATGAATCCAATCAGGAGGAAAAGACACAGCAGACCCAGAAGAATCACAGCAGCTCTGCAGTAACTCTTCTTTACAAATTCAGACTCTGCAGGTAGAAGTTTATATTTGTTACAATGCTAAAGGTGAAGAATATTTATATCCTCATATAGTTTATCGTAACATAAAATACTATTTTCTCTACAAAGTAATATGTGAACTTCTGCTCTTGAAATCAACATCTGACCACAAAGAAGCAAACTTGTTTCTGTGTGATTATGGCTGTGACACAAATACTGTGATTGTCGCACAGTATTTTATTGTATTATTTTCTCTTTTGAACTTAGAATCCGACAACCACACACCACAGTATAAATTAAAACTAACACTGAAACTAATAAAAACCAAAGTTTTTTGGTTTATTAAACTATTAAAACTGAACTGAAATAAACACACGCTGAATGTGTTTGAGCCTGTCCTGAATTAAAAACAAAAATTACAATTTAATCAAAATTATGGGCCAAGGGTCACCTGTCAGCTAGTCATTTCAGCACAATAAAATACAGATAAAAAAATACCATAAAATATAAATCTTTAAAATTTAAAACAAAACATCCAAAACTACAATAACTTTGCAGCAAACCGGACCCTACATCTACCCGGTATTAGTTTTACTTTTTGTTTTATTTCTGCACAATAATTCATCATCACATATCAATGTAGTATCTAAATCTAATATGTTTACTTGTTTTTGTTTATTACCTGGGAGTCCAAGTCCAGTCGTTTCACATTGCACAGTTTGACTCACTTCATCATCGATATAATTGTCTTCTGAAGTTTCTACCAGCCTTCTCAACTTTATGTTGCTGCCTGATATTTCTTCCATGCCCATATAGGCTTGATCCATGATTTTACTGGTATTGCTGGCTCAGTTGGGTCCTTATGTATCTGAGGCGATCAGCATTTTGTGAGCGTGTGAACTGTGTAAAAATCCACTGGCACAAGCAATTCTTTATTTAACAGGAAACTGAGAGCTAGAGGAATGAAATGCTGCTTTCATTTCCCTGAATCCTGGCACACCTCAGGACTGTTGTTGGGTTATGACTGCATCTGTCTTTGCCTTTGAATACACAGACAACACTCACTACAGCCCTAATCCAACTGAAACCAATTACTGTATGTCATAGTTGGAGTACAAGATAAGATAAGATAAGATAAGATAAGATAAGATAAGATAAGATAAGATAAGATAAGATAAGATAAGATAAGATAAGATA